TTTGAACTTACGGTCCTCCTGCCTCAGCCTCCCCAGCTGCTGGGATAGCAGGCGTGGGCCACTGCGCTGGGCTGAATTTGTATTTCTTTGTAACAGATGCTGTGGTGAGGTCCACAGGTGTTTTATGTTTATTAGTCATTTATATTTTCTCTTTCTTGAGTCATATGATCTTTTGCTATTTTTTCCCTTTATCTTATTGATTTTTTAGGATGGCGACACTTTATTTTGTTTGTTGTATTTATTTTTAGCTTTAAAACATCACCAGGGTCCTGGGGCTGTGGCTCAGTGTTAGAGCACTCACCTCACATGTGTGAGGCCCTGGGTCTGATCCTCAGCACCACATAAAAAATAAATAAAGGTATTGATTGTGTTCATTTGCAACTAAACAGACAAACACCATCAGACACACGTGCTCCCTTCCAGCCCACCCCTCCATTCCAGTCCACCCTGGGGCTGACCCATTTCTGGATCAACAATTGGCTTATTTCGTGAAGTTCTTTGTTAAGCACGTGTCTGTCCAGCTCTGTATTGCACTTCTTTCCCAGTCCTCCTCGTGTTCAACCTGCGACGAGACCCGAGTAACTCATCCTGTTGTGCAGCTAGAGTTCTGGTTCCCAGCCCTTGCTCAAGTCAGGGGCGGCTGCTGGAGCCAACTCCAGGTGTGGGGAGCCTCTCTGCCATTTCCAGTGATGGGGGAGAGACTGTCAAACCCTCTAGGAAATGTGGGAGCTGGGGTAATTTGGGGAGAGGCCCAAGAGGAAACGTTTTGGGGATAGTCTGGCAAGTTCTTACCTATATTCTGCGTTTCCTTTGAATGCTTTCTTAGTGTGTGTGAAGTTTCTTAATTCTTCTGGAATAGATTCCTGTGAATGACATGAGATAGAAAATATGATTTTTTTCCAAGTGGATCTGCAATTAGCCCATCATTAGTAACCACCATCCTGCGCTACTTGAACTACAGCCTCTGTCCTGTGTTGGGGTCCCCCCCCCCATCCATGGGTTCGAAGTGTAGATGCGTAGTTGTCACTGCCCCTAGCATTCGTCATCCTCGCAGGGACCGTGTGCCCCTCGGTGCTCTGGAGGGGCAGGACCCAGGCTGAGCCAGCCTGCGCACCCCATCCTTCTGCGTGCTGACCCCCAGGGCTGGGCAGAGACTCAGCCAGCCGCGAGGCCCCGTCGAGCTCACGCTGGGTGTTTCAGTGAGTGACCAGGAGAGTCCTAAGTACTAGGGAACTTAAGGGAGAGGCTACAGATGGCTGCAGCTCGAGAAGGGGACAACCAGCTGAGGGACAATGACGTCGTATGCCTGCATCCACATCCACCACAGCTGAGCGGGCGCCCCTGGGCCCCAGGAACCTTTGACAAGCCGCTGTCTTAGTGCGCAGGGGAGCTGCCCGGGGTCTCTGAGGCCAGGAGCCGTCCACACCCTGCGCTGGTCACCAGCGTCCTCAGGTTCTCGGCCTCCCCTCCTCCGCCTTCCTGTCGCAACTCCCTTCCTTCTGTGCTTCCCGACTGTTCTCAGGTGCTGTCATTTCCAAATGGATTTTAGAATAATCAACTGACTTGTATTTTAAAATCCCGTTGGTATGTTAATGGTGTCATTAAACGATTCAATATCTATTGGCTCAGCCAATATCACGTCTCCCAGGAAGGTGGCCATCCCCACCTGTGCTTATTAAGGTTTCTTTTGTGTCTTTTGGGGAAAGTTATCAACACTCTTCTTATATAAGTCCTGCTGATTTCTCATGGAGTTTTTTATGGTTTTAAAATTGATTTTT